ACAACAACAGTACAGCAATTCCAATTTATTTGTTGTCATAATAATTTATGATTAAGCGGCATATTATTTAATCAGCTTTAAACGCATAGGCTTATAACCGATTGTCAATATATTTTTATGAGGAATTCTCTCGGTAATGAAATTATTATAGTAATTTGTAACAATAAAATGAGGGGCATATGGTATGTAGAAATATGGAATTTATATATGTGAATATAGAGTTGTTATTGAGGGACGTAATATTTTGACATAAAGTTTTTGTGAAAAATTGTATGGCTTTACATTGTTGCCCAACCCGTTGCAAAAGCATTAATTGCTGCAATTTGTAAAACTTAATATTATGACTTATTTGGAAATTTTACAAAATTTCGTTAAAATGCAACAGGAAAAATGGTGGCTGCAAAATTTTAATAATTGGGAATAAAAATGTGTCATTTGTTACAAAAAGACCTTGAAAACACATTTTAAAAAATCTACAATTTGTATGCCAAAAGCCCTGGATGAAATCCTCAAAAAAAATTGTACAGGATTGCCCATATTCGACGGGCCCATCTGGCAACGCCATAACTTTTGACAGAGATGTCACATCGCTTAATGACATACCGCGTTTGAAGCGTCAGTCCAAGCAGATTTTTATCATGAACCAATACACGCCACGCGAGCGCTCTGAAATAGTTGAAATTTACAAGAAGTCAATTGTGAAAACTCAACGTGCTTTTAAAACATTAAAAAATGTGAGAACACCTTCTAAGAACACCATTAAGCGTTTATACGAAAAATTTTCGACTGGTAAGGCTCTTTCTAATCCGAAGATGCCATATAAAAGTCGACCAAGGCGATCGGCCGAGAATATCGCTGCCGTACGAGCCAGTGTTGAGAGGTCCCCAAGAACATCCCAAAACGCAGTTCTCAGCAGTTGGGCATGGCTCGGTCCACTTTACAACGGATTATTCGCATTGATTTGCATTTGTTCCCATACAAAATTCAATTGACGCAATGAATGTTGCCTGCGGACAAGCCTCGTTGATTGGAATGAAAAAAAAAACATGGGTCCGTCAAATATGGGCAACCCTGTATACAAAGTCCTTGAACAAATACTCTTAAAAATCTACAATTTTCCTCATAAGGTTATTGGCAAATAGATCTTAAAAAATGTAGTCCAAAAAATCGTAAAAAAGCATTTTAAACAAGTAAAAAGGCAGTTAAGTTCGGCCGGGCCAAACTCCATCATTTGGAAGGTACTTGAAAAATTTACATTTAAAAAAAAACAAATCCGTCGAAAAATAGCGCTCAATGAAGACATGGTGCTGGATAAGAATTTTTTTTTGTCATAGATATAAGTAACGATTCTGAACTTTAAATACGAAATTCAAAACAATTCCGGTAAATAATGTCGCTAATATAATTAAAATACCGAATAAAGGGACGTACCGTTGTATAGGGTCATTACTAAGAAGTGGACTTTCATAGACAATTTTCCATCATAGGTTGTAGTACCCCTTACGAACTTCAAATACGAATTTGGACGCAAAAATCCTGGAAATACCGGCGTAGCGTTATATGGGTGATATACTAAAACGTAGACCTATATAGACAATTCTATTCCAGGTGGTAAAGTACTCAAAGGAAACTCCATGTGTAAAATTACAGACAATGCTATAGAAAAATGTGGCTAAAATGATCAAAATACTGAATATTGGGGGGTACCATTGCATGGAGGCTATACGATATCGTGGACCTATGTAGGACCTATACAGACAATTCTCTTTTAGGGGGTAAAGTACTCACAGAGAATTCCTTGTGTTGCATTTCAGACTATTCCATTGAAAAATGTAGCTAAAATTATTAAAATACCAAATATCGGGAGGCACCATTATGCGTGGACCGATATAGACAATTCTCTTTCAGGGTGTAAAGTACTCACAGAGAACTTCTTGTGTAGCATTTCAGACAATGCCATTGAAAAATGTGATTCAAATCATGAAAATACCGAATGTCGGGAGGTACAGTTATATATAGGATATACGACCTAGTGGACCTATATAGACAGTTCTCTTTCAGCGGGTAAAGTACTCACAGAGAACCCCTTGTGTAGAATTTCAGACAATGCCATTGAAAAATGTGATTCAAATCATGAAAATACCGAATGTCGGGAGGTACAGTTATATGTAGTATATACGATATAGTGGACCTATAGAGACAGTTCACTTTCAGGGGGTAAGTATTCACAGGGAACTGCTTGGGTAGAATTTCAGACAATTGAAAAATGTGGTATGTGATAAAGTATATCGGTACACTTTATCACATACCACAGCCCATCTTCGAACTTGACCTGCCTGCAGACAAAAGACAGATCGGTGCAAAATTTTAGTTTCCCATTGTTATTCATTTTGACTCTAGCGTCATTACAAAAGACGGACGGACAGGGCTAAATCGTCTTAGAATTTTACTCTGATTAAGAATACACATACTTTGATGAGTCTAAAATGATTATTTCGATGAGTTAGAAACCCTCCATACCATGTATGTTGGAGAGTATAAAAATCATGATTTTCAGTCAATCAGTCCCCAAGAAATTCCACATTTTTATCAGAAGATTATAAAAGTCCTTGACAAATTTTCGAAAATCTCCACTATTAGCAGTCACGAATTCCTTGAAAATTAAAAAACAAATTCTTCTTCATGAAGTCCTTGGAAAATATTCTTAAAAATATTTTTGAAGAAGTAAGCAAAGGCTAAAGTAGGGCGTGTGTTCCATGTGACCCCTTAGGTCCAAACTTATTCTGCCCGATTTCGTTTTTTTATTAATGTCATACAGTTCTGCAAAAATATTACATTTGGTTTTTGAACAGTAGCTTTTGCCCTATATTAAAGTCCTCTGACGTCCTCTGTACAGCACAAAGTCACAGACAACTTTTGGTTTGTTTTACCTGCTAACTCCTAGCAGGCAGACTTCCGAATTGCCAGACTTCTGTGAAATTCCCCGTCGTCTGGTGTTTCATTGTGACCTTTAAAGTGACTGCAAATCCGAAAAAGTTTTAGTTTTAGATCGATTTCAAACCAACAGTGATCTCAATATCAGATTTCATAATTTCAGCTCCATATCTCAATACCCCTTCACCCACCCAATACCAAATTTAGTAACATTTACTTCCACACACCACCAGTCATCAGAATTTAGTACCATTTAGTACTTTCAAATACAAATAAAGGATGCATTTTCAAAACCAACTAGATATCTCAATTTCTCACAACAACAGTGACCTCAATATTAAATTTCCGAATTTTATCTCTATCGTTTCACCCAATATCAAATTTAGTAACATTTAGTTGTTTTTGTACAGTTAAAGCACACATCTTAAAAACAATCTCCATATGTAAGGCTCAGATACCAACAGACACCTCAAAATAAAGTTTGAGGATTCTAGCCCAATCCTTTCACCCAATACCAAATCCAGTACCATTTAGTACTCTTCGTAAAAATATAAGACACATTTGCAAGCCAATCTCAAACCCAGATACCATACGTGATGTAAATATCAAATTTTATCTCTAAACCTTCTATTGATACCAAACTATAGTACCATTCAGTACTATTTGCACAAATATAGTACACATTTCCAAAACAACATGCATATATCCAGGCTACACATGAACAGCGACGAATTTAAAATTTTCAAACACTATCTGTTCACTCTATACCAAACTGTACCAAATATACTACTATTTAGTACCTTTCGTGCAACTGCAGTAGACGTTTTCAAAGCCAACTCCTAATCAAAAACATACCACCAAGAGGGATCTCAATACCAACATTTCAAATTATCAGTTCCTTTCGTTTATCCAAAACGGAAGTGTACCTAATTTAGTACCCTTAGTACAGTTCTCACACTTAGTAATCATTTCCGAAACCACCTCTTTATCATAAACCCATTTTCAGGAATTGTTCCTCATACCAAATTTCCTGATTTTACAACTCCAAATTTAAGATTTCCAGCTCTAAACCTTCCCCAAATACCAAAGTTAATACTATTTAGTACCTTTCGTACTTTGTAGTAGGTATTCGCAAATCTCCAGCCATGTATCAACAAGACCGCACAAAAGGTGATCCTATTGCCAAATTTTAGACTTCCAACACAATTCCTCACCTAAATAACAATATTTAGTAATTTTTAGTTCGTATTCCCAAAACCACCCCCAAATCTCAACCCAATCCCGATGCCAAGTTTTAGATTTCAAGCAGTGTCCGTTCACGCAATACCAAATTTAATACAATTTAGTATCTTTCGTATGCTTGCTGAACGCATTTCCAAACCCGACTCTTTGCTTTGACCCTAATCACCAACAAAGACCCCAATGCAAAAATTTGAAAATTCCGAAAGAAAACATATTCGGTATAGTCCAAATCTGACACGTTGTAATATTTATATCAGTCTTCCGTCAGATACGAATTTGTCAATATTTGCCAACTGCTTCGGAACCTCCCCCATAAAGGGTCAACATTTTTAATAATCATAACTTAAGGCTGGGGGTATACATCTGTCGGCAAAACCTACATATACTATTTTTCTTGTTTACATAAAATTTATAGACTCCTTCACCCGCTAGGCAAAATTCCATGCTGAACTGTCTGTAATTGTGACCTCTAGAGGAACTGCAAAAACAATACATTTTTTCTATTTGGTCTATTTTTGGTCCATTTAAACAATTAAATATTTTGCGACCATCTCCAAAAACAATAGGCTGCTATTCTGATCATGGGCAGACAGTCAGACGGGCATGCATACCTAGATCGACTCAGCCCGGCAAGATAGGAATATCCATACATAGTTTTCAATGTCTTGGACCAATATTTCGAGGTGTTGCATACGTTTTTGGCAAAATCAAACTTATAATATCCCCAACAGATGTAGGTTATAAAAATTAAAACGTGACCCCGTTTTAATATACCTGGGAAGTACTTCAATACTTCCAATCATGCTTCCAATTATTGTTTTTCTTTTTTTTTTTCAAATTTCCATATGACATTTGGACAACAATTCAACCTTCAAATATTTATCAAAACAATACTAATTTGTTTCGCATTCTTTTGCGACTTGGTCTCTCCTCGTTGTCTCTTCATCAAACATGGAACATTCGAACACTATTGTCGCGGCTACTATCCTCAGGAGGTTTCAATCAAATATCGCGATAAATTAATAACTTTTGGCGAGCCTTATGCGATCTATAAAGAAGTCAATGTGTCCGCCGAATACTTAATATCGTTGAAATTATCCGAATTACATTCGTGTCCTGTTATCCGCAGCAGCGGTCCTCAAAGTTATACCTGTGTGCCGACGGCAACCGAAATCAAATTTCTACGTGCCATGGGTCTGTGTCATGAATACAATTTGCAAATAGCCGATGAATTGATACGAAATTGTCTGAAGCAGAATGGGAGACGGCATGAAAATTTCGTTAGTCCGCAGCGACAACTTTTGCATTACACATTGGTAACGAAGTTAGAAACCTCTGGCGCGGCGGTTGCTGCTCTTGATAATTCTCAATTAAGTCAAATGTTCTATGTGATGATGGTTGTAGCTGCTCTGTGCTGCTGCTCCTATGGCCTTAGGTGATTTGTGTTTTAAGCCAAATTGCTGAGCCACTGGCCGAATTATTTCTCTTCATTTCGTCTGTAATTTCATTTGATGTTAATCTTCTATCATTGGCAAATATTCAGTGCATTTGGATTCGCTGTTTGTTTGAATTCTCAATTTTTGTTAATGCAATAAATTGCTGTTAATTGAAATGATTTTGTTTTCCCAATAAATTTTAAAACGAATTTAAAAAAATAAAAAAATTGACCGACCACTCCTTGGACAGTAGAGCATCGTTGATTGAGGGACAGTGGTTCAAATAAATTAATAGAAATAAGTAAATGAGTCAAATTAAAACTGATCAGGGTTGGTGGCTCTCTCCGAAACCCTGCTGTAACATCAAACCTCGGGATTCTAGCTCTCATGCCTACTCAATTTGGTACCATTTAGTACTTTTCGTACAATTGCAATACATGTTTCCAAACCGACCTCCATATCTCAATTCCAGATGCCAACAGATACCAAATTTGAGGATTCAAGCCCTATCCCCTCGCCCCATTCCCCAATACCAAATTTAGTACCATTTAGAACTTTTCATAAAATTATAGTAAACATTTTCATAACCCACTCCATATCTATAATTGTTGATACCAAGAGAGACCTCAATATCTAATTTCAGGATATAAGCTCTATTCATTTACCCAATTCCAAATTTAGTACCATTTAGTACTTTCGTACAATTATGTTACACATTTCCTAAACCGACTTCATATCTCAATTCCAGATACCAGATATTAAATTTAAGGATTCCAGCCCTATCCCTTAACCCAATACCAAATTTAGTACCAATTAGTGCTTTTCGTACAATAATAGTACGTATTTCCGAAACCACCTCCATATCTTAACAACAGACATCAACAGTGACATCTATATCAACATTAAACATTTTTTCTCCATCCCTTCACCCATTACCAAAATTAGTACCATTCAGTACGTTTCGTACAATTGTAGTATATATTTTTCGAAACCACCTCCATATGTCCAGGCTACACATGAACAGCGACCCTAATAACAAATTTCTGATTTCAAGCAGAATATATTCACCCAACACCAAATTGTACCTAATATAATACTAAGTAGTACATTTCGTGCACTTGTAGTACACATTTCTAACATTTCGTTGACATGAAGTACACATTTCCAAACCCACTTTTTATCCCAAACATCCTACTAACTGGGATTTCAATACCGGCTTCTTCCGTTCATCCACAACGTAAATGTACCAAATTTCGTACCTTTAGTACAAATTTCCAAAACCAACTCCGTACATCAACCCCATTTACAAAAATTGATTCTCATACCAAATTTCACGATTTCGTTCAGATAATTCCTAATGGTACCAAATTTAGTGCATTTTAGTACTTTTGGTACATGTATTTTTAGAATTTCGACAAAGCCATTTGTTTGTCTATCTTAAACAACATTAACAACATCAAAGGCTCTCACACCAAATTTCATATTTCCGATTGTAATTTTTCCCCAAATACCAATACTTAGATTTCAAGCAGTATCCATTCACCCAATACCTAATGTAGTACCATTAGTACCTTTCGTACGCTTTCTGAACGCATTTACTGAGTGAGATACAAAAACTACAACAAAGTCAAACGCCATCATTTTTAATTTTTTTTTTTTTTTTTTTTTAATTTTATTGAAGGAAGCAAAAATGTCTGAAATAGCATCAACTTTTAGAATAAGTTTAGATTTTTTTGAACTGGTCACCTTTGGCACAATTATGGCCAACGAAATCGTCACACGTTGCCCGAATGTTGCTCTGCGGTATTTTGGTCCATTCCCGGCGAAGCGCTTGCTTGAGGTGATCGACACTTTGGTATTTTTTAGTGCCAACCTTGCTTTCCAAAATACTCCAGACACAATAGTCCAACGGATTGCTATCCGGAGATTTTGGTGGCCATTGTGCTCTGGAAATGAACCGAAGAACCTCATTTTGTAACCATGCTTGGGTGGCGCGTGCAGAGTGCATTGGAGCTGAGACCTGTTGGAATGTGCAAGGTCTGCGGCCAAAATGTTTGCGTGCCCAAGGCTTTATTACACCCTCCAGAATATTTTCGCGCTACTATTCGGCATTTATTCTGATGCCACGGTCTATTAATACGGGCGGAGAGCGACCATGGGCTGTTATGGCGGTCCACACCATCACTATGGTCGGTGCTTGAGTTCTGGTGGCCATCCCAAAGCACATTTTCAGCTGACCTCTTTGGCAAGTAAACACGAACATTTTATTTGTTTACGAATGTTTTCTCATCGGAGAAGACCAAATTCGGTAGTTCACCACTTTCGGCCTAGCGAAGCAACTCTTTAGCTCTTTTAAGTCTAATTTCTTTCTGTTGCGGTGTAAGTTCTTGCACTTTTTGGAAATTCAATGGCTCTACCCTGATCTCATTTTTCAATATTTGCCGAATGGAATATTGCGATAAGTTCAGCTGTCACTGGAAAAATTTTAACAGCTCTCGGACGAGTGGCTAAGAAATGACAGCAGTCTGAAGTTGGTTGCAGTTTTTTTCATGTCACCCTGTAAGTACGGCTTTCCAAATCTACAACAGTAATCTTGTTTTCAAATTTCAGGATTTCAAATCTATTTGTTCTCCCAAAATTTAAATTTTTGCCAAATTTAGTAACATTTAAAACACATACATAAGTACGATATTCCAAAACGACCTACATTCCTTTGTCCCAAAATGTTATAGTAATCTTATTTCTATTTCAGAATTCCAGCGCTACCGGTTCATATAAGTCGGAATGGTATCAAATTTAGTATCATTTAGTACTTTTCGTGCACATAAGTACATATTTCGAAAACTCTCTCAGTATTATAATCCAACACTCGGCCAGTAATGTTAATTTAAAATTTCAGGATACCAGTTCCATCCATTCCTCCAAATTCAGATTGTATTAAATTTAGTACCGTTTACTACTTTTCGTATACATGAGTTCACCCCTCCAAATCTTTTAGACATTACATCGACTCCACTCCTCAACCTTGATTTCCATTCCAAATATCAAGTTTTTAGCTTTAACTGTTTACATAATACGTATTGGTAACAAATGCAGTATATTTTAGTACTTTTCGTACACTTATAGTGCGAACATTCAAAAACCCTTTGGTACATCTATCGTACACTCCATCAGTGACCCTCATTCCAAATTTGTTCTAGCTAGAGTTCTAGCCCTTTAAACCTTCTTAGTACCTTTAGTAACTTTTTAAACTTTAAACCGTTCCAGTACTAATTTCGAAAAACCAACCTGATCTGACCAAGAGTGACCCTCACCCAAAATTTCAAAATTCAGCTTCAGGCGTTTCGGCTGGGACTTTATGAATCGTTAAGCCAGTCAAACATATATATTTTTCTATATCTTCCAAATATGGCTTCGGAGAGGTTTTTGGACCAAAGATTACTCAAATATCCCAGACCTCAACTTCCCTAATATCTCCCCACAATTCCCACTCCAACTCCAACTCGTTCTCGCTTCACTGTAAAGATTTTAAATGTATGACTGTTTGGACATTTGTTCTTAATGTCTTGCTTCTTCGTCTCCTTTTTATTTTATTTGAGAATTCATTTTAACAATAAATTTTGCTTAATTTTTTGGAGAATTAAGTGGCTTGAGCATTTCAATTTATTGTTGGTCATCGTTGCATACGTCGTTATACGTTTGCACATCTGTATGTATATATGTGAATGTCCTCGGGTGATTGTCAAATATTTATTTGGGTGGTACAGTGAATTTGAACTGTTTATATCTGTGCCGCACCCTAATCAATGAATTATTTGGATTTTGGCGTTTAAATGCCGTTGGTAGTTGCTGGAATTTTGTTCTAAGGAATTGATGAGGAATTTTTAATTTTGTAGAGTAAATAAATTATTGTGTTTGACTAAGAATTGTAATGGTTTTTATTGCCTTAATTGTTAACAACTTTCTCTTGAATAAATTTTAAAAACATGAATCATATTATTTTTTTAGTGGTGGTGTTACCAAGAATAGTCCTTCATCCATGCTTATAGTTTACTCTTTCAATTGCCCAGAATCTATCAAAAGGAGAGACTGATATCGAATATTGTACTCTTCCTCACTCCCATTCATTTGCATTTCAAATTGTTGATGATCTCTTTGTGTAAATTGAAATGTTTTGTTGTTTTACCCTGACATCATCTCGTTTCATCTATCGATTCACAACCATTTTCGGAACATGTGTCATTGACATTGACTCAATCAATGCTAAAATGTGTGAAATGTTGTAACACCTTGTAGTTGCAGATCAGAGTCATCGGCAAAACTAAAACAAACGCTACAAAGCCAAGATACTCGATCAGTAGTAACTCAATTCGTTAGACAAACAAAACGATTGTATGAATGTCGATTGATGACTGTCCCGATCTACTGTTGACAGATGTTAACAGTAGTTGTCAGCTAATCGTAGTAAATCAAGCAGTAGTGATTAGTATTTTGCAAATAATTTGAAATAGTAGGTTAAATATTGGCTTAAAGTGAATACCGTTTGAATAGACTTTTTTTAAAGGAGGAATATAAGATTTCAAAAAATCTTTACGAAATTCACAAAATAATTTTATCATTGAAAGGGAGGAAGAGTTATCTTTTTATACCCTACACCACACTGTTGTCTGGGTATTATGTCTTTGTTTGTAACATGGAGAAGCAAGCGAGATAGACCTATAGTTACTTTTCTTCTTCATAGAATTATTTTCTGAGTCGATTTATGCATGTCAGTCTATCGGTCGGTCCATCCGTCCATTTATTCTTGTGAACAAAATGCAGGTCGCATTTTTTATACGCTTAGCCATATGGCTAGAGAGAGTCATCATTTAGGACGGTCAAAAGTGCCTAGTCGAAATAATGGTTTTAGACCCTATGTCTCTTTGGACCAAATCCGTTCCAGGACTTTTGGAGTCCACCTAGCGATGTCGGTCAGTCTGTCCGTCCAGGTATTCTTTTTTATCCGATTGAGATGAAATTTTGCAAACAATATTTGTTTGGCCTAAGGACGAACCCTATTGAAATTTTTTGATAATCGGATCAGATTATATATAGCTCCCATATATCCTCAACCGATTTCGTGTGAATTGTGCACCAAATGACCAATATAAATACAAATGAACTGAATTTTGGCACATCCGACCGAATTAAGTCTAAAAGCAAGTACATCAAATT